ATCTTTGTGGGGTGGGGACACATCCGTCTCTGTGGTGGCTGACCAGGCATCAGAGTCTAAGTGACAGTTCAGTAGAAACTCTTGATGCTTTCACCAAATTCTAGCTTCTCAAAAGTAAGAGAGGCATTTCTTTAATGAAATTGAAAATTTCTCCCCCCCCCCAAAAAAAGCTCCGTTCGTCAAAAGTATTATCGCTGGCTTCTTGACTTTTCTTGCAAATGGAAAAAGTACTCACACTCATCTTCTTTCTCTCTGTCCTTCCTGTTGCCTTTCCACTCCCTTGTTACTTGACGCATCCCTGGGTTCCTGTCCCATTGGTTGATTTTTTCTTTCATTTTCTTTCTCTGTTCTCCTCTTCTCTTCCTCAGCAATCTGTAGGTTCCCGAATTTGCTCTTTCCAACCCCTGAACCATCATTGCTGTTTGAATTCAGACATGGAAGCATCTTGTTTTCCAGTCTTGGCTTGGGTCTGGGTATATCAGGGTACAGAAGTGTGACCTCCAGAAGGAGGGTGAGACAGGAAAGGAAGGAGCTGGGGCAGAGACAGGTAATCTTCCAAAGGGTGCCTAGACTGTCTCCTAAAGAAAAGGAGAGGTTCTCTTTTGTTTGGGGATCTACACACACACACACACACACACACACACACACACTCGCGTGAGGAAAGGCTGTTTTCTTTACAAGGATGGCCTGCTTACAGGAAGGCAGCAGATTCTGCTGGCCACAGCAAGACACAAGGACCTTCTGCTTACCTTCAAGGTTATAGCCCCCAGCCAAGAGAAGGACAGTTGACAATTGTTCTCCTTTCGAGATCCATGAGTAAGGGCCTGTTGCTGTTCTGAGAGGCTTCCTGCACACACTCCACACACTCCGTGGCCCTGCCACTTCTCTGATCAGTTTACCACTCCAGGGACCTTTGACCCTTTCCTTCCTCAGTTCCTCAGGGACTGACTCTCACACTTTCTCTAACTTCTGTGGATTTTCTCCTAGCCATGGAACTGTTGCTCCCCAACCCAGACTTCAACTGGATTATCTCACCACACTAGTCATGAAAAGGAACAAGGCAGGATTTGCTATAGAGCAATATTGGCTGTTTTCTTTTTAATATTTAAAGCATAATCAGAATAGCAACAACATCCCCACCACCTTCTAGACTGCCAAATACAAACTCACTTGCAGCTTTTATGACCTCATCTTGACTTTAGAAAGTGAAATTGCTTCCTCAAGGTGGAGAAGGTAATGTTCATTTAGTACCTTATGTCACTAGGCGCTAAGCTAGCATCCTTGGCTGGTTGGACCAAAGACAACCTGTCTTTATTCACAGGATGTAAATTATTGAGCACCACCCTAAGAGGCCTGTCTGTGATGGCACCTGCCTCCTGCACTGCTCTCTCTAACTGTGCTGTGAACTCACTCCACTGGAGTTGCCCATTTAGGGTATGGGGTCCCAGGTGCTGGATGGTACTTCCCATTGTCAGGGGGTGGATCATTGGGGTGGATTTGTTTTGGCACACTCCAGAAAGGCCGCAGAGCACAGGGTTTCAGCTGGTGAGGAAAGGGCATGAGTGAGCTGTGACCTTTTTCCTTTGCCCACTTAGGGTTGAGCCTGCAGAGAGGGTGGCTATGGGGACTATGAGCACTGGTCACTCAGCAAAATCTGTTGATGTCCTACCTTTGCTCTTCCTCTCATTTCCTGTCTTCCTACTGCTTTCCAGGAGGCCTAAGGCAGCTGTTCTGAACCCTTTCTGGAGAGTCCTCCTGGAGGTGGGGCTGTCCTGAGGAAGTGCCTAGATAGGGACCTGGAGAAGGGACTTAGCGCTGTCACCTTTTATGTCTGTCTGTGGTTCCTGAAGGCCCCATGCCTTCTGTTTTGTCATATCTTTTCTCTCCATCCAGGCTTCTTGGTTTATGCTTTTTGCACCTTGCATTTTAGTCTGATTTGAGGGACAGGTAAGAAAGCTAACACAGGGTGAGTAGCCAGGGTAGGAGGGGAGGAGGCATTGCACTGAGTGGGTGGTGGTGGTTAGGGGAAGTAGTGCCAGTCTTTGAGCCTCTGTCACTTCTCCCAGGGGCTGGCTGTTGTGTTTGTAGCTGCGTGTGGTGCTTGCCAGAGGAGTGCTGTGACAGGAGGCTATTTTAATAAACTTGCAGTTTCACGAGCCGAGCTGCATTGCGTTGGCATCTCTCGTCACCACTAATGGAGTGTGCGTGGCTGGGTGTGGGCCGAGAGAGGCTGTGAGCTTACTGGGGGCTGAGGGGAAGGCGAGGAGGTGCAGGGTTCAGTCCCCTTGTTTGGGAATGCTCCTGAGTCCTTCAGGCAGCCCAGTCTGAGGGACCAAGAGGTGGCTATCTCAGCCAGCGTTCTGGGCCCTGACAGTGCTGTGCTGGCACGGACACTTTCTGAGCTCTTTCTCCTATTCATAGTTCTGTAGGCTGGTGCAGAGTGGAGGAGAAAATGTCCACTCGCCCCACCGTGCTCCATTAAAAAAAAAAATCTAAAAAAAAAAAAAAAATCTAGAACCAGAGAGTGTGCTGGCCTGAGAGAAAGACTGAAAGCGGAGCACAGAGAGAAGGCGCAGCTGCTTCCCCAAGGCCTTCTGGGGCTCCCCGCCCAGCCGCCAGCCCGCCAGGAGTCAGGCCTTTATTTATTTATTTTCTGGCTTAAAAAAAAAAAAAGTCCGAGTCTTCCTCAATCCTAGTGTTCCCACCCCCCAAGTTTGCTGGGTGGCTGCTGCCAAACAAACCCAAGTGGGCGCCTGGGATGAAAAATTCATAACTGCTGGACTTTGCTTTTGCGTGTTCATTAGACATGAACTTGTCGATTGGGCAAATTGTTTTTGGTCTCCAACTGCCGGGGGGCTCTCCCCACCCTCTCAGCTAGCCCAGCTCCCTCCTCCCCTTGGACTCAGTCATTGGCTGCGTGAGGATGCCTCTTTGCCAAATAGGTGGATCCCCCCACTCTCTCTCTCTTTCTCTCTCGCTCTCAATCTCTCCCTCGCTCGCTCGCTCATTCTCTCTCTCTCTCTCTCTCTCTCTCTCTCTCTCTCTCTCTCTCTCCTTCTCTCCTTTCCTCTGGCTGTCTCCCTCCCCCTCTTTTACTGACTTGGCACACGCAAATGGATGGGGATTGAGCATGAACGGGGAGGGGTAGTTTGAGAGAAAAAAAGGATCCACAACCCCCCCCCCTAGCGGTGCTGGTGCACACACACCCTCTCCCGCGCGCGCACATTCACATGCGCACCATCGCACACCCCATCCCATCCCTGTCTTCCTGAGATCCTCGCTCTCTCCCTCCCCCTCTTCCTTCCCTCCCTCGCTGGCTCCCTCTCTCCCTTTTGCTGCGTCTGCCAGCAACGGTCTGCAGCCGGTCAGAACTCGTCCTCTTCCCCGAGAATCTGCGAGCTCCCCCTCTTCCTCTGGTCGGGTGGAGGGAGCAGCTCGAAGTTTACACCCTTGTGCCGCTGCCAAAGCCGAAAGCCTTTTCTTCAGCTGCTGCTTTTTCCCTCCTGGTTTTTGTTTTTGTTTTTCCGGGAGTGGGGGGTGGGGTAGGGTACCGTTGTTGTGGGTGAACGTGGGGTGGTGATGGTAGGAGGTTGGTTTTGATCTTTAATTTTGCATATATTTTTTGCTCTTTTATTTTAAACTGCAAGAGGATGCACCGGGGGAGAAATTGAAACAATTTGTTGGCTTTTGTTTACCTGGTGTGTGTAAGAAGCCACCTCGCTCCCTCTGCTCGCCATCCCTGACCTTTCTTTTTACTCCTTAAAAAAATTAATTTCCCTCTCTGTGCAATGGAGCATGGGGGGTGGAGGGGGAAGGGTTTGAGAATCCACCCAAGCCCGGCCCCTATTCCCCAGAACACCAATAATAACCCCTTTTAAAACATTTACCTTCCTCCCCTGCTCCTCCTCCTCCCCTCGTCCCACCACCCCTAACTCATAACTCTGTTGAGTCCAGAATCTCAGAATCAGGCGTTGGCTTTGCCGGGTGCTTCAGATCAATGGTAATTATTTGATTTTTTCCAGCTTTATTTTTGTAAAAAGAAATCAATTATTATTTAAACTTCAAACAAGCAAACAAGCAAAAACCAAAAAAAAAAAAAAAAACCAAAACAAAACAAAAGGAAAAATAACTGAGAACCCAGCCCTCTGTCACCTGATTGAGGGTGAAGGGTTTGTGGGAGATTGGGGAAGGGGCCGCAAGACGACCCATGTAGCTTTTAACCCTAATGTGGCTGAGAATACCACCTTATTTGGGCTAACAAGAAGTGTTTTGTTCATTATTACTGTGATTAACATTAGTGTCGGTGCCGATAACAAAGCTGAAACCACATATTTAGGATTTAGGTCTGATTTAAAAATGCTGGGATGGATGTTCCAACTGGATCTGGAGAAAAGAAAATGCAAACAGCCTGGTGAGAGAGGACCTGAAGCTGCTTCCTCCATCTCAGATGGCATTTTCTGTCTTCTGGGGGGGGGGGGCAGCCAAACATTGGCCAGTCGGGACAGGAGGACAGAAGGCAGCAAGGCAGTTCTTGCTTGCCCTTCCGTCTGCACCCTCAGGCAGCGGGACACTGTGCTGGGACCAGCTGACCCTAGTTCACAGCTGCCGTAGAACATGGAGATGTCATGGGTGCGACAGAAACCGGGGGGGGGGGGGGGAAAACAGGGGGGGGGTTTTTTTGTGCCAGGGGGGGGTGGTGCGGTGGTTGTGTGGGGTAGCAGAGAGAGAGAGAGAGAGAGAGAGAGAGAGAGAGAGAGAGAGAGAGAGACTAGGTGTGTGAACAGGCTCCCCGTGCCTCTGTTTGGTTGCTGAAGCTGAGATGGGAGCAAGTGGCTGGCGAAGCTGGTGGTGGCTTCAAACCACACTTCAGTAGAACAATCTTAAGAGAAAATTGCTGGGGGGAGGGAGAAGGAGGAGAAGGCGGTTTTCCTAGTGCCCCCTTCTAACGCTGCGTTTCTCCTTCTCTCTTTCCCCCTCATCCCGTCTTCCCCTCCTCCCGTCCTCCCTCGCCCCGCATGCTCCCGGCTTGCCGCCTGCAGGATGAGTTCCACCCGTTCATCGAGGCGCTGCTGCCTCACGTCCGAGCCTTCTCCTACACCTGGTTCAACCTGCAGGCGCGGAAGCGCAAGTACTTCAAGAAGCACGAGAAGCGGATGTCAAAGGATGAGGAGCGCGCGGTGAAGGACGAGCTGCTGGGCGAGAAGCCTGAGATCAAGCAGAAGTGGGCATCCCGGCTGTTGGCCAAGCTGCGCAAAGACATCCGGCCTGAGTTCCGAGAGGACTTTGTGCTGACCATCACCGGCAAGAAGCCCCCCTGCTGCGTGCTCTCCAACCCGGACCAGAAGGGCAAGATCCGGCGGATTGACTGCCTGCGCCAGGCTGACAAGGTGTGGCGGCTGGACCTGGTCATGGTGATTTTGTTTAAGGGGATCCCCTTGGAAAGTACTGATGGGGAGCGGCTCTACAAGTCGCCCCAGTGCTCGAACCCCGGCCTGTGCGTCCAGCCACATCACATTGGAGTCACAATCAAAGAACTGGACCTTTATCTGGCTTACTTTGTCCACACTCCGGGTAGGTTGTTTTCAACACCCCCTCCCAATTTTATTTCACTTACTGGCATTTGTTCTGTTTATTGTTCCTCCTTTTTCTGACAGTATTGCCTAACTGGTAGCTCATCCTATACGGCCCCTGTTTCACATGTGCTGCCCTCTCACTTCTCCATCCTTTCTGTCTGCCCCTACCCCTTCTCTTCTCTTACTATGACACCCAATGTGGGCATCTCCGTCTTTAGTAAAGATGCTGTCAGTTTTAGGACAGGCCAAGATGCCTCATAATCTCCCATGAGGGTAAGAGTTTGACACAAACGACGACAACGTCAACACTAACCACTGCTGATACAGAAAATAAGACAGAAGTGCTAAGGGCTGGAGAGAAGGTGCAGCCTCCTGTAGCTTTGCTTCATCCCAGGAAATCTGAGTTTGGTAGAATCCGGATGGACGTGGGGGTGGGGGTTGCAGCAATCCAGGAGAAAGGGACATGTGGAATCTGGCATATGGGACTGAATGACCTGGGAAGAGGAGAGCCAGCAGTGGGGTGATTCTGAGGTAGGAGCTGCTGTGGCTGGTGTTTGTTTTGTAGAGAGAGAATACAGTAAGATTCCTTACGTTCCCTGTTCCAGGACTGAGACAACCCGTGGTTGCTCCAGTGGTTCTGTGCCCCTCTGGAGCAGAGGGGCTTTGTGGGGAGCAGGCCTGCCAGGAAACAGCTTGCTGTAAAAGAAGTCTTAAACAAAACCCGCAAGAACCTTTGCCCTTTTGTGCCCTGAGTGTTTCCCTAGTCACCTTTGCTCTTCTATGCCCTGTGTCTGGCCTGGGCTAGTTTAGTGCTCTGACCTTGCCTGCCCCCCCCATCCCCATTTTTCTTTTTCTTTTCATAATTTCTTTCCACTTTTGTTTTCTTACAAATTGAAACAGAGATGGCTGGTTAATTTTTAGCCTCCACTCAGCTACGCCCAATTTACCGCCGCCTTTGAAACCTAAACGGGCCGGTACTCTGTGATTAAGCAAGGCAGAAGTGTGTTTACATTGTGCCCAACCAACTTGTAATGAGAGGCTACCAAACCTTTGTGTGTGTGTGTATGTGTGTGTGTTTCATCTCCAGTATTTCAGCATTTCCCCCCTCATTTCTCTCCTTCCTCTTCTTTGTGGGAATGTGAGAGAATGTGGCTTTACTTAAGCTCAGGAAAACTGAAAACCTGTCTTTCCTGAGACAGTGCCTCTGTGTCTTCCTTTGTATTCATTCATAAAAAACGAAAGGCAGTTCTTGCCACTGTGGTCACCCCCTTGCCTGTTGGGAAAGTTGGGAGGAAGTGGTATGAGTGGATCTAGGCACACAGCTGGAAGATACTTCCAGGAGGCCGTCTTTCTTACAGAGAACAGTGTTGAGTATATGTTGGAGTGAAGAGAAGTGAATTCAAGTCTCTCTGCTTGCTCATTCCCTGTCCATCTGGTCGGAGGCAGTGGGCACTGCCATGGACCCTCCTACTCTAGGCTTGCACATGGCCTTAAGTGACCCCTCACTTAGAAAGGCCAGTTTCATGTCCTTCCCTCGCTCCCTGCAGCTTGGATTTTCTCTTATCTTTTTTTCGAGGGGAGGGAAGACAGTTAAGGAGAAAAAGTTATCCCAAATTCTCTGTCTGTACAGCAAGCCAGGTTATGAAGGGTGAGATCCTGTCAGTGTTGTGGGTGCTGGGGGCTGCTTGGAGCAGGAGACTACCACCATATCTATCCTATAGCTCCTTCACTTGGGGAGTCTGAGCCTTCTACTCCTAGAGCTTGGAACCCAAGAATATCTTAGGGAAAATCAACATCCATCTTCCTCCTAGACTGCCTCATCTTCTCCTCTTCCTCTCTTTTCCTGATGTTTAGACTCTGATAGTTGTATTGTTTCCCTGGCCTTTTTTTAAATTATTATTTTAAGCCATTAGTTATTTGACAGGTACTTACTATGTAACTCTGACTGGCCTAGAACTTGGTATACATCAGGCTGGCCTTGAATTCATTACAGATCTGCCTGCCTTTGCATCTGAGTGCTGGAATTAAAGACAGGACCAACCAGCCCTAGGCCACATTCTTGACTTCTGCCAGTGTAGGGCTGAGATGAGATGGTGTGCATAAGGAAGGAAACCATTTCCCAGCCAGCCTCCTGGCTTCTGCACTGCTCTGGCAGGTGGAAGGGGAAAGGGGAAGGAACAGGGCTTCCTATCCCCAGCTAATGAGATCATTCGCCCAGGAATATGGGTGAATTCATAGTACACTGCATGTTGCCAAGGCTACTTCTGGCCAGGCTCAGGCCGAGTCTCCTTAGCAGATACCAGATACATAACTGAGAACATATTCTTTGCAATTCAGGCACAGACTTTAGACTGTAACTATGAATGTTCAGGATTTCTTGCTGAAATGGCTAGAATTTCAGGGTATCTTTCTGAAGGAAGTCCAGGGCCACTCATAGGGCCTCATTGCTTGTTTCTTCCTAAACCATTGTGGTGTGATTTGGAATGTCCTGTGACTGACATTGATTCTGTGACATTACCTTCTCCACTGCCTCCCCTCCCAACATGTCCAATGAGCCACAGTATAAGAAACCAGGCCTGGGGTTGGGAGCTGGAGAGATGGTCCAGTGGTTAAGAATACTTGTTGTTGTTCTTCCAGAGGACCTGGGTTCTGTTCCTAGCACCCACAACACATCACAACCACCCATAACTCCAGCTCCAGAGAATCCAAACCCCCTCTTCTGACCTCTGCAGGCACAGACATGTAGGCAATACACTCATACACATAAAAATAAACAAATCTTTAAAAATAAAAACTGGGTGGGGCTGAGCTGGTGGTGCCAGTTTTTATGACCGAGCTTGAGACAGCAGGAGGTGTGAGGGCATGACTTTGCATCTAGGTTACATCTGTCACCCAAGCCCTCACAGGCTCTTGTGCCCAGAAGATTCAAGAGATGACATAGTGAGAAGGAACAGAGAGTATGCCTAGGTGACTTCTAGAATTTGGTTCTGAAAGGCTGCCACAAAGCCACCCAACTGCTCTGAAGGAGTGTCAGCGTGTGTCTGTCAGCATTCAGTGGAGGACACTGAGGCAGGGCTGAAGCACAAAGCCCTGTCATGGAGAGGAGGATGTCCAGAAAGGTTGTCCCAGGGCAGATGATGTGGCAGGGACAGCAGGAGTGGGGGTAGGAGCACTCTGTGGTGTGGAGAGGTACAGCCAAGTAGGACTAGCAGCCTTGCCTGCTGTCTCCAATCCCACAAGTGCTCTGAAAGTGAGAAGAGGCATGGATAAACCCTCAAACCTTGGTTTCAGTCTAGCAAAGAAAACGATTCAGAACTGTAAAAATTCTTTACCTGTTGGTAGACACCCCCACCTCCTGCACCCATCACAGGACCCACGGTCTTTGACTTAGGCTAGGCTTGAATCATGCATGTCCCCATTGCCCACCGGCACTGGGCGTCATAGCCCATCCTTGTAAACATTCTGTGTACATCTCTTAGAGAGGTAAGGCAAATGCTACTATCACAGCTGAGATTTCAAAACACATTTTTTTTTTGAGACAGGGTCTCACTATGTATCTCTGATTGTCCTGGAGCTCATTATAGAGACAAGCCTGGCCTTGAACTCACAGAGATCCATCTGCTTCTGCCTCCCTAGAGCTGGGATTAAAGGTGTGTGCTCTACTGCATGCAGCTCAGTTGTCTTTTGTACCATGAGATATCTAGCTGATACCCCATTTCCATAATTATCAACTTGTTTTTGTTTACAGTTCATCCAAACCAGAACCCAAATGAGACAGTTCATACACCACCATGGTTGATCCAACTCTATCTAGTGGTGGTCATTGCCATGTCATCACTGTCCTCCTCCTCCTGACCTTCACGACTCTCCTGTCAGTTTTTGAGGAACTGGGCTGTTCGTTCCTCCTGTGTGGTTTCCCATGGGACCTCTACAGGCTTCTCACTGTGGTTCAGTGTGCCATCAGACCCTGGGGCAGGCAGGCTCAGCCTTATTTGTCATAGGAGATTAGCTAGTAACTCAGGCTTTGCCTAAAGAACTTCAAGCATGAGATGTTCTTCTGGTTGACTCCACTCCTTCCAGGAGTTGGGCTTAGCAGTTCACACTGGCTGTGAAGCCTGAGCAAAAGGACCTACCCTGTCCTTCACTGGTGGTGACTATTGCCTGTTCCTGTCTTCCTAATGCCAGTGAAGACCCCTAAACCTTTTCTGGGCTCCCAACCCTTCTGGTGAGTCTGGTATATGTGGGAAAGACTGCCAGAGTATAACTCCCTTTCAGGGGCCACCCTGAACATGGATGGTGTGTCACCCACTTGTCTATGTCTTTGAGGCAGCGCCATCTGGTATCAGGGTTGGCAGAGACCACGGGGTCTAGTAACACAATTAGTGACATTAGCAAGATCTTTGGGTTATTTTGTGATGCACTGTCAGTCCCCTTGAGACTTTCCTATAAGCAGTGCCACCATTGTTTAGGTGATTCTAAGTCTTATTATTTCCTCTGGCTCAAGGTATATGCTCACAGGATAGAACCAACTTATACATCATAGGCTTATACATGAATGGCAGTTGCCACAGTGTCTACTATTAAGATTTACTGAGCCTAGCATGGCTCCCTGTCTCCTTCACTGTTGTCCTGGGACTGTCTAGGTGGAAGCAGGTTGTTCTGTACTGTGGTAGTTCCCATCTGAATAAAGCCTCTGAACTCACCTTCCTCCCTCTTTTCAAAGTGTCTTCCCTAGTGTCTTCAAACCTGCCAGAGCTCTAGTGCACTTGCCACCTTCAGAGGGGTCCAGCTACATAATAGGAAGGTTCCAGAACAAAACAGCAGTGCATGGCTCCTGCCCACAGTTATTAGCAACTGTAACATTGTAAAAGCAGAAGAGGCATTGAACCAAGTGCAGGGCCTGCTGCACTGTGCACTTGTGAAGCAGCGCGTGTGCTCTGGATTGTCGTTTACTGTGTGAGCCTTGGGGGTCCTGGCTGTGGACACATTACTCTGACT